AAATGCATTTTTAGTCTTTATGAACGTGAGACGCTTGCCCAAATGCAAGTGCAATAAGCCACACATCTTGGCCTCCAGTGTCGAGGCTGTAAGGTGGCTGGATTTCTAAAAGCTCTCGTTATTGTAGAAGCTTTCGAGACTTGACTTGTTAAATAATCATCAACAAATCAAAAATAAATCCTTCAGAATGACGTAAACATAATTATTAATAATATAAATTCTGTGCGAGAAGAGATCTGCTCAATTCTTTACAGAAGAGATTTTATATAACATATTATATACACCGTGACTTACAATATAAATAACCGTGACATACAAAATAGATATCTCTCTAGGACTAAATGTCACTGAATTAACTAATATATACTAATATATACTAATAATTCGAGATCAACAAAGGTTCGGCGATCGTTCGATACGATAAAAGGTCGATTCACATTTTTACGGTTAATTAGGCAATTAGGCGATCGCGATCGGGTTCATCTCTCGTACGATTCCTGAACCTTTCTAAGGCAAGTCACGGTTCCGACGACGAAGTCGTCGTTCGTCTGGACGCTATCTTTGGCACGCGCTCCAACTTGGACGCGTTCAGATTACCGCGAATTTCGCGAGTCTCGCGTTTCCACGATGCTAAATGAAAGGGATGCACGTTTCGTGAAAAATAATTTTCTGATTTTAAAGCCAATTTAAGAAATAAAGCGAGCGCTTTAATCGCAAAAGCATCACCTACACACCTATTCAACTAGTTGTACGATTGGATACTGATAGTACAGTATTGAAGTTAGTTGAGTTACTATTAAATTGTTGAAAAAAACAAAAAAGTTTATATAACGTAATAAGCTGAAAGAAAGGAAATTGCAGAGTATAGAGGTGTACGTAATATAGACTGCTGGAAATATACACGCGGAAGCAAGATGGCACGCGGAAAAGTCAATAACTGCGAGCAGTTTATTATTTTTCTTTCTTTTACAGAGGCCTGATTCGCGCGAGTTTTCCTTCATAAAGTTTTCCTTCTTTCTACTGAAATAAAGTCTAAATTTGGAAGAGTTAAATAACTGGATAATACGTGAACAGACACACACACACACACACACACACATATATAATAGTGCGTAACAGAATAAAGACAGAAAGAATAAATTTTGTCGATTAAAGTCAAGTTAAAAAATAAATTATAAAAAAGATAGGAAGTAGAAAAGTAATGCGACGATGACTTATAGACATTGTGATCACGATTTTTCGTTTTATAATCAACGGGTCATTTCCAGCTGTTCGCAAGAACCTTGTAGCTCGGAAATCTTCGTGGGGGGGGGGGAGTAAGAAAAATAATGTGTAATAAAAAAGACACTGGTTTCACCAACACTGCGTTCGCATTCGTTGTTCGTGAGGTCATATTCGGTCGGGCGTTTTGCGTCGCAGATTGCAGTTGGGATTGTCCGGCCATTAGGGAATTAGAGCAGGTTACGGTAGATTTTCCCAGCCCCGAGAAAA